GATTTCAATTTCAAATTAAGGCAAATAAGACAAAAAAAACAAATTTCTTAAAAAGCATATGAAAAGAATTAGAGAATCGGCATGGGGAGATATTAGAAACATTGGAGCTAGTTTTACACTTTTACTAACGTATGTTTCTCACACGTGTTTTAGCTAAGGCGACTAGTTTTTTGCCTATTGCAATTATTGGTTTATTATGAACTCTCCTCATTCTATTGGTGATGCTATTTATTTTGATTTAATGAAGGAAAATTGCCCTAAAAGGAGTAAATGAGGTTTGAAATTTCAAAATAGGACTACTATGTTTTTCTTCCCGAAATATGAGTTTTCACTACCGTGTATAAAAAATACTGTCATTAATTATAATAAATATTGTCATGTTAAATGCACTGTACTGCAATTATTTGACAGCCACGCCTACAAGTTAGTCCTATTTCGAGAATGAAAACAAAATAGTCTTATTTTGGAATTTCAAACTACATTTACTCCTATTTTGGGAAATCTCACTTTAATGAATGAAATATAAATTTATTCCTTTCAAAAGATATTACCACTCTTAGAGCATCTCCATTCATGCTCTCTAAATAAACGATTTTTTTATTACACATCATTGCCACATCACATTTATTCAATAAATTTTAAATAATCTCAAAGTTTAAAACTATTCATCAACAATAATACTCAAATAATCAGTTTTTTCCGGACATGCATTAAATGTAATTTAACTATAATCTAAAATAATCCGGGATTGGAATCTTGATACCGGATTTTCTTTTTCAATAATCTCACTAAATAATCTTTCATTCACAATGACAATCTTTTTAATAATCTTACACATCATCCAGTTAATCTTCAAATAAACTCATGGATGAGGATGCCCTTATACCAAAATATTACAATGTTGTGTTTGGTGTCCTTGAAAGTTATGTAATCATCTCTACTTAATGCATGTAAGTCGTCGGTTATTTTGATTGTGTTGTGGACTTGTGGGTTGGGGTAAGAAAATGGAGTGCAGTCTTGTCTACACTAACTTTCAAGGATCCAATGTAAAAAAAGTCTATCTTTTAAGACTTTCTCTTTTAATTTTAGGCTTTATTTACTTTCACTTTTGCAGCAAATGACGTTTTTTTATGCACGGAGGGCAAAGCAACTAGAAAGGATTTTATAGTGTATACAAAGTAGTTACTATTTTTTCTATTCATCTGTAAAGTCCTTTGATTTTTGATAGACCCAATGGTGAACCTCTATTTTTATTAACAAGGGGGAGTCAGCTCGATTTGAACAAATTTTGTTATCCCGGACTTCCCTCAATGTACTCTCTTCGTAGGGGGAGCGGTTGTCAGTATATGCAATGAAATATATGAAATATTCTTGTGATCAATCTGCTCAACAAACGATTATTTTGCTGGTTTAAAAAATATAACCCTAGATACAAAACCGTCCTTAAATAGGATTACAAGAAGGTATATATATTACCCTAAATAGGACTAAAAAGGTTTGAAAATTTCAAAATAGGACTACCATGTTTTTATTCCCAAAATAGGACTAATTACTGCCATTTTTTGGCAGTTCCAGACTTCAAACATGACAGTATTTTCTAAAATTTGCAATAATTACTCCTATTTTGGGAACAAAAAACATGACAATCCTATTTTAGAATTTACAAACTGTTTTAGTTATATTTCGGAAACTTTCCCTAAAAGTAATCTCAAACCAAACTATTTTCACGAAGGAAAGGGTTGTGGCACTGCGCCTCTCTTACCCTAGTTTATGCACATCCCTTTATTGACGGAAATCCTTACAGCATCTCCAATGCTACAATGTGCACGGTGCACACGTGACATGAAAGAGATAGACACAAAAGATTGATTTTATGACATTTCTCTCTCCTTCTTTCCACGTTCTTATGTGTTTTTGGTAAGTTTTTCCCTGCAATGTCAATCACAATGTCTACATCTAGACATTGTGAAGAAAAACTTACCAAAATGATATAAGATTTTTCAAATAAGGAGAGAGATATTCAATTTATTGTTTTTTCATTGACTATCTCTCATGCCACGTATGCACCGTTAACTTTTTAGCATTGAAGATGCTCTTATATGGGAGTGGGACTAAAGCATAACATAGTTCCTGAATTTGGACTCATTAAATTTACTCCTGTTTTGAAAAAAATATATATTAATAAGATGGGAGATAGTAAGTGTTTCAACGTTTTATTGGATTCATTTATTCAATTTATAAAATTATATCTTACAACCTATTTTGGGTAGATTTAATCTCTTACAAGATAAATGTTGCACAAAAGATTGTCAGGCCGGTATCAAACATCAACACATATTATGAGATAAAATGATTCAAAATGTTACACATTGTGAATCATAAATTGTAGCCATTTAGAATTGAAACACTAGAAAGGAAATGGAATCCTTAAAGATATATAGATGAGAGGGGAGTTAGAAAGTAGAGGGGACACACGCAATTAAAAGGAAGGCAAGCTTGAGGCACACAAAAGTTTATGATGAGATTCTGATTAATACCATTCACAAAAAACCAAAGAAGTTAAAGGTCATATGTATGGGTCCATGCACTTTGCAAATCTAAGGATGTGCAAACATTTTATTTGTGGGAGGACGAATTATTATATTCAGAAATCCGTTGAATATTATATTGAAATTCCAACACACTTACGTATTGAGATTCAAAGTGCGTAAATTATAACATGATGCATTATTCCCACTAATCCCACTTGTTCTTATCTTCCTGATTTTTTATTAGACATTACCTATGCTGCCACTAATTGTCTAATTACAGTGACCAAATGTACTATATATCTTAGTGTATCTTCCAATGATTTTTTTGAGCTCTCCAGATTTGCAATACATGTTCATCAATGAATTGGAATACCGAATACTCAAGTCAGAAAAGTTATGAATCCGTTTGTTATGGCAAGATTGTGTTTTTCTTGTCACAAATAGAAAGAGCACTTCTGTTGAGGACATCTAAAAAAGAGCGCAAACCTTTTGAGGGTTGGAGGGTATCAAATTAATTAGTATTCATAATAGTTATTACCCAGTAATTAATAACACTTGAGCATTAAAAATACACTATTCTAAAACATAATTCTGGTTCTGTTTGAATCAGTGGTGTTATTTGATTTTTTATTTTCTAAATCTATAAAATAATTTTAGTTACAATATATATATATATATATAACATACATAGTATTTTATGATGTTGAGGCTTGGGATTGCAATTTAATTAGATAAACAATGCTTCGATAAAAACAGATGTTATATAAAATAAATACTACTACCTTTGTTCCTATTAAAACTTTCAAATAGGGTTGGCACACAGTTTTAATCGGAACGAACGAAAAAGGAAAGTTGGAAGTTTATCTAGGAACGGACTCACGGAGGGAGTAGTAAAAAACATCCCCGCAACTGGGTTTTCTGGGTCACTCCGGTTTTACAAGCCCGCGTTTTTCAACTTTCCTGGGGTTTTCCGATTTTCAAGCATTTCCTGGTTTCTCATCATCCAATTGGTTTTTCATTCGGGTAGATTCAATCAAGCCAGTTTTTAACACATACGGAACAGTAAAAACCAAGATGACGTAACAGCAGATCATGTTTGACATACAGAACAGCCAGTTATGTTTTTTTTTATGATTTTCAGTAGCTTAAGAGGCCATTTGACGACACTATTTTTCAGGTTATCAGTCTTATCAGCCAACTTTTTCATCAAACACGTAATTTTTGCTTTCGCGTGCTGAATTGTGTAATAAGCAGAAAAAGTAAAGTTGGAGTTACTTTTCTGACTATATTAGCTGAAGTTACTGTAGATGACCATTTTAGCTATTTTTTCTTTATTTTATTAAAAAAAAAATTAAAAATAAATTTTTCTTAAATCAGCAGAATCAACCAATGCAGCCACTTCAACCACAACTTTATACTCCCTCCGTCCCGAAAAGGATGGCCAAATTTATTTTTTGGATGTCCCAAAAACATTTGACATTTCCATTTAAAGTAAGGATGATGTGGCTAAAATTAATCCACAAATTTCAACCACACAATTTTTACTTTATTAGTCCACGTGAAAGTGAACTTTGGCCAACCTTTACGTGACGGAGGGACTAAATTTCAACAGAATCAGCCAAATCAGCCGATTTTCGTACTACCAAACGGGCTCTAAAAAACATTTTGTGTTTGCTGTATATAATTATATAAATGTGGGGGAGGGGGGGGAACATTGATGTAAAAGAAGCAGCAGACGTGCCTCAATATCACATGCATGAATTGCACCTAGGGTTGGACTCGGGTCCGGGCCGGGTCCGGGTCGGGCCTAGGCCCGGACGGGTCGGCGGGTCAGAAATGGTGGACCCGGGCCAGGCCCATTATATATTTTTTTTTTGTTTTCCTCTTCCTAATTAACCCCCCTCCCACCCCCAACCCCCCAAACCACCCCAAATGGCCCAAAATACCCAGCCCAACCCGAAAAGTTAAAAAAAATTGAAAAAAAAAATATTTTTTGGCCCGAACCGGGCCCGGGCCCGGCCGGGTCGGGCCTTGTTTTGGGTGACCCGAGCCCGGACCGGAAAACCCACGGGCCGGGCCTACCCGGACCGGTCACTGACCGGGCCACCGGGTCAGGCCGGGCCAGAACAGTGCCGGTCCCGGGCCAGTTCCGGGTCGGGCCACCCGACCCGAGTCCATCCCTAATTGCACCCATGTACTCATTTGCATCCTTTCTGTTATTGACTGAAAACGTTTTCATAATTGGAACACCAATCTCTACAAAGGTTGTCTTTGGTAATGCTCTTTTCTGTGAGAGTATCGTTTTCTAGCATCAGGTATGATCTAACCAAAGGATTGACGTTTCTGGGTATTGTCAGCACTGGTAGTGGTGATCAGCAACAATGTTGGTAGTCAACTATAGGTTTAATGAAGCGGATTATATACTAGTTTAATTTCATACCATTTCCATGTGGAATGATCTGGCATATATAAAATCTAAACATGAGGTATGTTATAACGCTAAATAAGTCTTGGACAATGTTCTTCCAATTCTGGGATCGACTGTCTTTAACAGAAAATGAAATCAGGCAACTCAGTTGATTGGTTTTGAATCAGAACCAGCACCAGTGACTGATTATTAGGTCCAGTTCTAAATGAGAAAAAACACATTCAAAACTTGAAGTATTCCCATGTATGGGTCGGTCATACATAATCAAGGCTAAATACATGGAACAGATGGGGAATTGCCATTCAATGAATAAGATGAATTTGTCATTAGTCATACTCCAGTTCATCTGGTGTAATCTGCCATTTAAGGGGAATGATGGATTCCTTCTCCACATCTCGAGATAGAGCTTTCCTCATATCTACTCCCTCAGTCCCGCTAGAAGGTTCCCGTGAACGGTTTATGATGTTTGACTGTCGATAAAGCAACTTAATCTCTGTTCACAATATGTTTATTTTTAGTAAATAAAATTAACATATTCAGAAATTACATTAAAACCGCTATGATAAAAAAAATAGAAATTGCCCAATATAGGAGTAAATATAAACATAATTGCACAAATAGGAGTAAAACTTAAAACTTCTTTCAATAGGAGTAAACATTAATTTTGTACCCTTAATATCCCTAGCCTAGTTAATTCTAAAATATGACTTATTTAATCCTAACCTAGTTAATTTATGACTTATTCGATAATAATAATTTATTTATTTATTTATTTTTCAAAAAATAAAAAAATATAAAAAAAAATTAAAAAAAAATAAAAAATGAAAATGTTGGCGCCTCAACACCACCACCGCCGCCTCTGCCGCCTCAACACCACCACCTCCAGTCACCAGGGGAAAAAATGCCAAGTTCATTACGAATGCCATATTTATGGCAGAAAACAATGAAAATGTTGGCATTCGCAAAGAGAAATATGCCATGTTTTCGGCATTTTCAGAAAAAAGGCAGTTTTTAGGAAAAATGGAATTTTTTTTCACCGCCCGGAGGTGGTGGTGCAGGGAGGTATTACAAGCTGTGGGAAAGGCATCCATATTTTTTTTTATTTTTTTATGGAGTTTTACTATTTTTTATTAATTTTTTTAAAAAATAAAAAAATAATTTTTTTTTAATTTTTTTTATTAATATTTTATAAATTTTTTATTTATTTTCCTACGATTTTTTGAATTTTTTTCGAATTTATTATGAATTAAACATTTAATTAAAAGTTGTTGGGACTTGGGTAGGGGTATACTTGTCCAAACACTAAATTTACTCCTATACAAAACATGATACTCCTATTTTTGCATTTTACCTATGTTTTGCTCCTATTTAGGGAATCCTCTCTAAAAAAAATGTATATTTGGCAAAAATTTGATTTATAAAGTAAAAGATTAAAAATGATTTAAGTTGACCATGAGAATAGTGGACGGGAACTTTCTAACGGGACGGAGGGAGTATCATTTAGAGGAAAAGAAAACAAAAAAACATCTCTGAATTAAGATTGTCCATTTTTCCTTTTCGGCCCGTTCCACTAGAATTGTTCCGTACCAAATTTGGTAAAGTTTGTCTTTTTCTAAATTATTCTTACTTTATTCTTGTTTTATCAATTAAGTATCAACTATATAAATCCATCTTTCTTAATAACCGCACCACCTCCTCATATCCCAATATTAATGGGACGGAGGTAGTACTAATCAGTAATCAGTACGGAGTAGAATATATAAACTTTTATAGCAGGATTTACCACTTGCTTTGAAACAGGACACAAATAAGGTTTGAAACAGGATTCTTTTTTCAGAATCGGGAAAGAAGCAGAAGTAACATAAGACGTGATAACAAATTTACAGATTTTACCTTTTTTATTGGTGGGTCTGAAGATTGGGGCAAAATCAAATCAAATGCCCTTCCTACCGCCATCAAGAACATCAATCCACACAAGATTTTCCGTTTCACAATCAGCAACTGATGTCTCATTCTTAACATCAATCTTGGCTACCTATTAATTATTAGTAATCTGATTAATAAGCTCAGAAAAGTTTAATAATATAATTTTCTTTTTATTTTGTTATTTAAAACATTATCAACTTCACACACAGCCCAACTTGTATATTTCGATAAAACACAGTTTCTATATGCTGTATGTAAGGGTGAAAAAACATATATTATGATGTAAAAGAAGCACAAGACATGCCTCAGTGTCATATGGGTAGATTGAATCCCCAACAACTTCACCACGGCCACGCTAATCAGGTTTCTGTCTCTTTAGTCAAAAGTATTACCACCCTCTCAGGTTTCTTTCTTCTCTGTCAGTTACAAATATATGATGTGTCTTTCATCTTCACTACCCTCTAAATATTTCATCTCTGACCCTACCCACTCAACCATCCTATAAATCTCATCAGACAGCGGGTGAGACTTGTCATCCGCTGAAAACCCATGAAGATCTAGAGAATCATTAATGCCTCCCACATCAACCCAACTAAACCCCACCTCTTTCCTCACCCCGCTATCTCTCATCCATCTCCTAACTTTTGCAACCATGCCCCATTGTCCCTTCTCAGCTAACAAATTTGAAATCATCACATAAGAACCCGAATGCTTGGGTTCCATAGTAATCAGAACTTCCCCCACCCTCTTAGCCATCTCTGCATTCCCATAAGTCCTGCAACAACCCAGCAAGCTTTGCAATACAGATAGTCCGGGCCCACCTGGAATTTGGGACACAAGCTCTTCCGCCTCATTTAGTCTCCCCACACGGCCCAGCATATCAACCACACAAGAGTAATGCTCTTCAGATGGTTGGATTGAGAAATCTCTTGTCATTGACGAAAAAATCTCAATACCTTCACCAACCCGTCCTTTATGACCGCATGCAGTTAAAACGGATAGAAACGTTATTGCATCTGGCTTCACACCTTTCAGCTTCATCTCTTTAAACAGAGAGATCACCGATTCATAATTTCCATGTCTCGAGTGGGCTGAAATCATAGTCGTCCATAAAACGTGGGTTCTATCTGATATCTCACGAAAAACACTCTCAGACTCAAAGATGCTCCCACGCTTTGCATACATGTCAAGGAGAGCGCCCGAAGTGATTTGATTGGTGTGAAGCCCGAGCTTTATCAGGGTGGAATGACATCGTTGTCCCTGCTTCAAAGAAATGGATTCAGAAGAAGCGATCGCACTCAAAACGCTCCCGAATGTGTACTCGTTTGGGCATGACTCCATTATGGCGATTGAAAATGTTCTTAAAGCTTCTTGATGCATTCCGTTTTGAGCATACCCTGATATCAAAGAGTTCCAAGAGATTATCTGTTTTTTACAGCCAAGCTCTTCGAAAACCTTCTTTGAGTCTTCTATGAACCCAAACTTACTATACATGGTCAAAAAGCAATTGGTAACATTATATTCGGAAATAAAGTTCGATTTTAAGCAAAATCCATGAACTATGAAACCTTCTAATACCATATTGTTCATCGTTAGGGCGTGGACTAGTCCAACAAATGTCACATCATTAGGACGCACCCCGTTTTTCTGCATCTCATTGAACACAGACATGGCATCCTCTCCACACACAGAAAGTATTGTAGTCCAAGACACAACATTACGTTCATTCATTCTTTGAAAAACAATCTTTGCATCGTTTGGAACACCACATTTGGAATATATGGCCATTAGAACATTACAAACTGAGACATGTGATCCATATGCCTTCTTTATAGCCAAACCATGTATTTGTTTCCCTGATTCCAATTTTTTTTGCTGCCCACATGCTGAAATAGCACTAGTTAGTGACACATGATCTAGTTTCTTTCCTTCTTTAACCATTTCGATAAACATGGGCATTACCATGGCTAAGTAACTCCCTTCCTGCACATACCCTGAAAGGAGTGCATTCCATGAAACCAAATCCTTACATGGCATTTCATGAAACACTCTTTCAGCGTCCACAATTTCCCCCGACTTCAAATACATGGTAACAAGAGAATTTCCAATAAAGACCTCAAATTCTAATCCACACTTCAACACACAACAATGCAATTGAAGGCCTAACGTGAACATTTCTTGATATGTACAATGGGTGAGAGCTGTGGTGTAACTGACTGAGTCAAAAGAAACCCCAAGTGCATGCATTTGATATGTGAAACACAATGCGTCTCGCCCATTTTTGAACCCTGAAAGCATCGTGTTATAGGAAACAATATCAGGGTTCTCCAGGTCATTGAAAATAAACAATGCGTGATTAAACTCTCCAGATTTGCAATACATATTCATCAATGAATTGGGGACAGTTAAGTAAGAAAATAATCCGCTTCTTATGGCAAGACTATGTAATTGAGAGCCGAATTTTAAGCCTCCTTGGCATGCCTTGAGGGCTAAAGCAATGACAACTTCGTCTATTTCTGAGAGTCCCATTTGAAACTGTTTCTTGAAGAGCTTAAGAGCTTCAAATTGATCATGGTGTACAAAATTGAGCATGGAACAGTGTGTAGACAGAAGAGATGTTCTGTGACTTCTATCAAGCACGTGGTGTTCATTCTGAAACAAGTGAAAGGTTCTCACCAATCGCCTGGGTATTCTCTGGAGAGCTTTGGGATTCAACTGGCAGCTGATCATCGGATGCAAAATGATGTCAAACGGAAACAGATTAAGAACACATACACAGAGAGAAAAGAAACCAACTAAGAGGCCAAAATATTGATTGAAGAAATTGACTCCACGGAACCAGACTGCAAGTCTGCAGCATATAACATGCATAAATTGTAGTAAGTCACTGGCTCACCGCCTAGACAAAATATTATTCCACAGCTTTTTAGTTCTCTTACCTCATCCAGCTCAGCTATACTAGCTGACACCTGTCGTCAGCCACTGGTAGTAAGTCACTGGCTCACCGCCTGTGAGTATCAGAATGATAGTATGACTACAAGTTGACAATATGGTTCGGAATGATAATATTAGACTGATTGTCATCAGAATACAGGATGTCAGTAATTGGCCTACCATCATCAAAATCTAGCATATCACTATTTGGTCTGTCGTGGTCGGTGTTGAGGAAGACGGTATCATTTCAGGAAGGTAGTACTGGCCAAATTCCGAGGATGGTGGCGCCGTGGCAGTAATTCATTTAGTTTTAAGTTTTGTATAATAAAAATTAAAGAGAACGTGATCAAATAAACCTTCAAACTTCCAATTCAACCACAAACACACTGCCCTACAGCTCAGCATGTAAGCTTTTTAAAACTACTCCGCAAGAGTTAAGCCCGGTTTACCTAGAATAGAAAGTAATCTTTAAGTCGATGTCATATCACTAGCCATGTGCCATCTCATTCGACCACATCAATATTGCCAACTCAACTATTTTATACATGTGTATCTTAACATCATATCTTTTCCTTTTTTATCTTTATTTTTTCCTATTTTCTATTTCTTCCATATTCTGTTCGGGTTTTTACTATTTGCTCTTCCTTTTCTTTTACTGATAGTTATTCGATCTTCATAGTTCCATTTTCTTTTTCTTAGCGTATCTTTTTCACTTATCCTTTTGTTTTTGTTAATGCCTTGGTCTTCGTTCTTCCCTTCCTTAGAGATAAGGAAGAAGTAAGGAAGAATTGAGGAAGAATAGTATGAGAGTAAAGATCTTGAAGTTCAAAACATATCTAACCTTTGAAGCTCTCAAATTTCTACAGATCAAAGGGGGGTGAATGAACAGAAGGGGATGACGATTAGTGAACAACAATGGGAGAAACTTACACATAAGTCAGGAGATGTAGACCGTTAAATTAAACTCAGATGCCCAAATTTGATTATTCATCTTCAAGCTATGATGACAGTTCCTAAACCACTACTCTGGTTAAGAAATACACTGACGAATCAGGTACTTTTTCCTGGACATTTAAGTGTGAGATTAGAAAGAAGTTTTGGTCTGTTGATTATGATGCCAAAGAAGGCGACGACGGACAGTTTCTCAATTTGAATATGATACTTAAATTATAATGCTATGTATGTATGTATTACTACTACTACATGGAAACGTCACATCAGCAAAGAAAACATACAAAGATCTTATCACTGAATTTAAAACTGGTTAACTGTGTCAACAATCAGAGGCGGATCTAGCATGGACATCAGTTGGGGGGGGAATTTAATAGGTATTCCCTCCATCCCAATTTGATTTGCAAAATTTCCTATTTTGGTTGTCCCAAAATGATTTTCCACTTTCTATTTTAGGTATGTAAATAATAATAAAGTGACAAATTTATCCTTACTATTACTTTTTGCATTAACTTAAAGACATCTACTTTTAGGAAAATGGGCAAAAGTGTAAAAAGCAAGCATCATTAATTGTCATTCCTTAATCCTTGTGCCAGTCAAAGTTTGCAATTCAATCCGAAGAAGTATAAAATAACGTGTATTGCAACAACAAAAAGTCAAAGACAAAATAAAAAAATAAAAAACACCACAATTTACAACTGTTTTTACGGGCTTTGATCATCAGATATTAATGTACATGTCTTATTGAATAATGTGAATTCCGGACATTATCATATGGATTATGAAGCATAGTATGTTAGTGTTTTCCAAATCAATGCAGGCATGCAGCAAAAGTGAGTAAAACACATTTTAATAAGTTGTTACTTGTTAGAAATTAACTAGAAAGTTAATAACAAAAAATGGTTTTCCATTTATAGATGGATGAAAAAATAACGATGTGAAGTATACATATGATGTATACATTATCAAACAACATATCATTTTAAAAAATTGAGAACATTAGTCATTTTTTAAAAGAATCATTTGAAAATTATAAGAAATACGGAGTAAGAATCGACACTCAATATTTTTATGCTAATTAAAATTAACATTGTTAAAATAATTATACTTTTTTGTTGTCCATCTTCATTGGGAATATAGAGAATATGCATTGCATTGAACGAGTGTGTGATAATCATTTGTTTCAATGTTTAAAGAGAACACATTTTTCACTATTATGTTTCAAGGTTACAAAACCAAAAGCATTGAAAATTTTAGTTGTAAATGATGACAATGAAAGAAAAATGAGACCACTAATATTGCATGTAAAGAAGTTTTTAGAAATGTATAAACTCGATATCATCTTTCCATTTTATAGCATATATAATTGCATTGCATTGGCATTTTATTTTGTTATAAGTTATAACTGTTTCTTTGCTTTTTTACTTTTCAAAATTACTCTTAGATGCATAATAATTTTTATAACATACTCCGCAAGACCGTAACATTTTATATTATTAAAGATGTTTTCTCTGTGTACTCTTTTAAATTGCTCATTGTTGTGATTGATATTTAAAAAAACAATCATACATTGCACAGGTGAGATACTACTAAATACTACTAATACTAACAAGTAACAACAACTAATGAGAATATAGAATTAATGCTAACTAATGAGATTAATAATGAAAAATCACAATCAGAACTTACAATCACAAATCACATTAGTAATAATTACTAAAAATGGTCAGTGGCTCACTCAAATCAGAAGTAAGCATAATTATAATTATATTATTATATTTTATAAAATTAGAATTATATATAGCTGAAAGCCTGAAAGAGTGAAAGTAAGTATAAAGCCATTAAAGCCCTTTCTAGAAAGTGGAAATCCTAATTTATGGAAATCCTAAATTTTGGAAATCTGAAAATAAAGGCTTTATTCTAATGCTGAAAATAATCAGTACAACAAAATTGAACAATTAAAAAACCTACCTCAAATCTGAAGAGACGAAGAGCAGAAGTACAGAGGCGCAGAGAAGTCGAGCAGGGACCTAGCGGCAACGCATAGAGGCGTCGTGCGCCGACGGCCGACCAGCGTGATCGACGGACGAAGAGGAGGAGCCGACTAAGTTGCGAAGAGGGTGAACGGACTCTTCTCGGCGCTGCGGTCGTTGCTTAGGACGTGTGAATTGGGCATTTGGGCCGTCTCTCTCTTTTCGGCTGTTGTAATTTGGAGTTTCGAATGTAAATCTTTAAGATTTTACAAAACATATTTAATAATGGAAAAAGGAGCGAATAAACCCATATACTAACTAAAAAAGGTCAAATAAATCTTTATATGAGAGATTCTGTCCAGACGTAGTCATTTGAGGCAGTTCTTCGTGAAATTTTTTGATAGAATTTTTTTGAGAATCTTATTCATTAAGTCTAGTTTACTCCTATCAAATTTCAGCTAACAATTCAATCGGGAAGACATTCAAATAAATTCTTGAAGATAACTGCGCTTTTAACTGCGCAGTTATCTTCAAGAATTCATTTGAGTGCCTTCCCAATTGAAGTTTTAGCTGAAATTTGGTATGACTAAACTAGACTTAATGAATAATATGTACAAAAAAAATACATCAAAAATTTTCACCGGGAACCACCCCAAATGACGACAGCCGAACATAGCCTCCTAAGGGTTTATTTGACCCTTTTTGGTTAGTACGTGGGCTTATTTGCCCCTTTTTCCTTTAATAATTATAAAATAAACAAATATGAAAACAAAGTTGCAATGTAATGATACTATTTCATTTCATTTCATTACTTAAAATTATATACATATGAGGTCCTAAATAAGATTTATAATCCATTTTATAATGAAGAAGTCAACAGCACCGGCGTGAAGTCGAAACCGATGGATCTGGTGTGTCGACAACGGTGAAGTCGACGACGTTAGAGAGAAAATCCCATCAATCTAGTGTGCAGATCGACGTCAGTAATAATGAAACTAGAGGCGACGGTGATGACCCGGTAGTCAATCAATCTGAATCGTGAGTATAGTTGTATAGGAGAGGTCGCGGTGAGGTTTGTTTGATGCACAACAGAAGATGGAGAAATAGGTGTAGGGGTGGTGTGTAGCATATAATGGGCACACAACTATTTTTTTTATCCAAGGAAGTAGGGTGTCGAACCACAGAGAAGCGGGAAATAAAACAATTAAGCACAAACTAAGGATTAAAGTTGGGAATGCGTTTCTTTTGATTTTTGTTTGCTTGGAAAAGTAATTAAATAAAAGTGATTGAGAGAAGAGATTTTTATCAACACAAAGTTCAACCAATAGCAAGTAGGGGTAGAAATTGGCAACTAATTGTTCAATGCTCATTTGTAAGACATAATTGCTAATTTTATTCTTAGACAGATTGTGAGAAGTTGTAGATAAATATTTTAGGACCCAATACAAGTCACCTAAAATAAATAACTATAAACATTTCCCAGTGATGGCTAAAACGAGACTAGTTGTTTAAGTGCAACGGCAACCTTAATTATTAACTATATTATTACCCAACCCCGTGGTGTAAATAATATAATTAAATAATTAAATTCTCCCGAAAAACTTCAATCCAGGACCAGGTAAAAGAAGTTTAACGGTGTGTTCAGAAAATGTTCATTTGTGTATTTAACAAACAAAATGTTTATGATTGAGTACTCATAATATATATCACAAACACAACATAATTAATTTTCTGGATACAACAATCTAAATAGAACAAACTTAACAATTAAAATCAATACAAATTAAAACATTATAAGAACAATTAATTAACCAATTTCTAACCCCAAATTTATTTAGCTATACATGTTGGGAAACATAGAAATATATGAATTCATGATTAAAGTACAAGATTTAATGAGATAAGGAAGATCAAACTTGTGATAAATGACAATCCTTGGAGCTTTGATGCTAATCTTGACTTAATCTTGGATGAGAAAGTGATTAGTTATGGTTGAAGATGGGTTGATGATTTGGGGTTGAGAAATGAAGAGAGAAGGAGGAGGAAATGTTTCTGGGATGTTTAGAGAGAAGTTGGTCTGAGCTTATGTGTGGCGGAAGATGGATTAAGATAATATAATAATAAGGTGATTAATCATTAATTGCTGGATTTTACGGAACTTGACGAGTTTATGTTCAGAAACGCGCAATGATGTTTTAACAACACATAGCAGTGCAGTGGTTACAGTAGAGCTTATGTGACTTTGAGGTCGCGGGTTCAAAACCTAGCCACTTCTTTTTCTTCCATTTTTCACTGCTGGGCTGAAGTAATATATACGAATTGCCAACAAAAAAATCAACTTGGTTCATTTAGCTCACTGGTTGAGGGTTTCCTTCTTTGACCAAATGACTAATGTTTGAATCCTAGCCTCATTTTATCAGTTTTTGCTACTTTTCTCCAATTTATTCCTTATTTGCTTTGAAGGAAATTCCACTTTGATTATTCTCCAACTTGAACTTTTGTTTTCTTCTTTAATTTATGCACATATGATCCAAATATCATCAAAAGTACCTGAAAATACAAAATACACGCATAACACCGCACTAATACAAATTAACGACAAATAATAAAAATATGTACAGAAGTACAACTTTAATAACTGATATTATCAACAAACTAGGCCTAAAAAGTGTGTAAAATACAAGCATATCAAATCCCCCACACTTAGACTTTTACTTGTCCTCAAGTAAAACAAACAACAAACATAAAAATATACACAATTTGATAAGATTTACAAACATAACTAAACAAATCACACATCCACCTTTAATGTCCACTAAACGGTCCTGATGGAGTATATGGCCCGGGAACCCCCGGTCCACAGACTCCTACTACCCCAGCGAAGGCCCAACGGGCCCAACAGGCCCAAATCACAGGGCCCAGAGTACCAAGCAGTCCGCACAACGCACAGGGGTGCCTTCGGCCCCCTGGCCGAAGGCTCCAAATTCTCACAGAGCGGGTTTCTCAAGCAAATTAAGAAACTGGGAGAAAACGGTGAAAACAGTAGCCCTCGGCACTGTGAGCCCTCGGCACCAGGGTGCCATCGGGTGGAAGAGCCCTCGGTTACTGCTCTATAGCCGAAGGCATCTCACTCGACAAGATATCCGCCTCACATGTGTACAGATCACCGTACCCCGCACAGACGTCCCATCCAACAGCCGCATTAAATGCGGCCACATGCGGCTGCCAACGCCAACCAGTTGAGGTGACCCCTCGGCCAATGAGCGCTTGACACGTGTCCCTGCCCGGCATTTATTGCTACTATAAATAGCACCCCTTTTCCCCATTTGTAACCAGGTCAGAACACGCTGAAAACGGCATTCACACTGAATACACTCTCTCCCTACTTTTACTTACTTGCTCTGACTTCTCTCTAAATTACTCCCCGTAATAACCCTTCGGATATATACCCCCGGGTAGACCATCCATCATTTGGTGCTCTCGTTGAGAGGTTGAACAATCGAGTAAGAAACCCTCCCCCTCGACCAAACACAAAACACTAGCCCCTTATCAAAATGGTGAGGACAACACGTGCCAACTCAAAAAACGTAGAAGACAAGAACCTGGCCCTCGGCGACGTCAACGCCCCCGAAGCCTCTCACAGGGCTCCCGAGGGCGGTGTCATCGCTGGGCTGGAACAGGCGGCTGTCGACCTACGCCTTCAGATCCAACAAAATGCCCCCGATGCCCGCCTCGGCATCGAGGCCGGGAAGAAAAACTGGAGCGATGACCAAGTCAGCCCTCCGGTTCTCACCATCGACGTGCAATCGGCGCTCTCCGCCTTCATCCAGACGCTCACCCAGAACCCGGGTGCCTTCGGCACCCTGGCTCCAGCTCACCCTCAGGTTGGGGAAAACATCATACTTCCCCCTCTGCCACACCCCTTCGGAAATCCCACCCCTCGGGTGAGAAACGACGAAGGGGTGGTGGCCCAAGAAACGTCCTCCCAGGAAGTTCAGTCCCGGGACCGCCATAATGACAACAGGGAAAGGCCCCGTACTTCCGCCCTCAACCGGCTCGGAGGAGGGCCAGACCGCCGAGGGGTCCAAGACCGCCTCGGGGGGAAAGCACTCCAAAGGCCCCAGGAAAGCGAGGGATCTGTTTCGAGGGCAGACGAGGAGCGTCCCCCTCGGGACAAAGGCAAGGCACCCCTTCATGCCGATGATGCTCGCCACCAAATCAACCAGGCCCACTCGGCCCGGGTTCGTTCGCAGGGGGCGGAGACCCTCCCGAAGGATCCCCGGGACGAAATTATTGCGGCTCTCCAACGCCGGCTTGACGAGATGGAGTCCAACAAAGCTCACGCCACCACCTCCACCCCTCATTCAGATCTCAAATACGAGGCCATGATGGCCAAAATGGAGGAGTTACAAAAGAGGGTGGCCGAGGGCTCCGGGGAACCCGTCATCCAGCTCCGGACTCGGACGCCATTTACCCCAAGGGTATTGGCGGCCCGGATCCCGGAAAAATACCGAGGGCAACACATACAGCCCTACAACGGGAAAACGGACCCCCAGGAACACTACAGCAAATACCAGAACAGCATGATGATGGTGGGGGCGTCAGACGAATATTTGTGTCAATGGTTCCTCTCCACATTAGAGGGACCGGCATACGAATGGTTCAACAGGCTGCCCGAGGGCTGCATTGATTCGTGGCAAGAACTCGCCCAACGATTCTTGACGCAATTCGCCGGGAGGCGTCGCACAAGGAAGCACTTTTCCCACCTCCTAACAATGCGCCAGAAGAAGGTTGAGACCCTTCGGGATTTCCTGGAGCGCTGGAGGACGGAGGCCGACAAGGTCGACGGTGCTGATGACGGGACCCTCCTGGCCCTCCTACAAACCATCCTCTGCACCGGTAACTTTTCAAGGAGCCTCATCATTGAACCCCCCCCCCCCCCCCCCCGCGACTACATAAGGGCTTTGCAGCGCGGGGACCGATATGCTGAGGCCGAGGAGGTGGAGTAGTATCACCAGCATCCGGACCAGCAGCCCCCGAGGGGTGACAACAAGCACAACCGAGGGCCGGGGGCTCCTCCAAATCGCCCCAAGGCTTCGGGACCCTCTGATGACCGCCCTCGGCAAGGCCAAGCCAAGCCCGGGGGAGGTTATAGGAGCAACCCTAAGACTTGGGCCCAGCCCATTCTCTTGGACCGCCCTCGGACCCCATTGACGCACCCCGTCAGCATCATCCCCAACGA